TACTCTTTACAAGTAATGTACATTTGCGAAAAATCAAACGATCACTTCAGAGCAATTCGAAGGGACAAATATCACTTTCAGAATGATGTTTCTTGAACACGTTCAAGGTTTTATTTTCCGATTTATTTTCTTCCTGGAAAGAAATTGAAGAAAGATTGATTGAATATAAATTTCGTCACACGTGTGAAATGAATATATAAGTTAAGGATGAGGTTGTTTGACTTATGTGCAAGAAGTAAACCATTTCAGATTGAAAAATAGCTAAATTAAAACTGATCAAATGACTTATAGTGCATTGTGAATTTTTATATGTTAATGTATTTTATCAATTGTTAATTTATATAATCTTTGGGCTTAAATGATTTAAACAAAAAAGAAAGTTATCATCGTTAGACGTAAAAGTTTAGAATAAAGCTATTTGTACATTATTAGATGAAAATGTATTTAACACTCTATCGATGTGGCAAAAATCTGGACAATGATGTGATGGTTGTCGTTAAAATGAATGGTATAGATCTAATCACAAGAAACGAGTGTAAACCTTAATGTAATCCGTACATACGTGTTAGTCTTACTCTATATATCATTGTGATAAAAATTTATCAAAGAAAATTCATTTAATCTTTGCAAGAAACTGAATCTTTTGAGTACAACTGAGAGTGGAACGATGTTATCAAATTCGTTCCTCGGACCAATCTGGTGCAAGTTGCAGTTGATCTATTCATTTTGATTGGATTGGGGTGGCAATTGGCGTGACATGTTTCTTCCCGTGAACTCGGATAAATTTGAAATTTATTTTTTGGACGATTTTATCCTTATTATGATTCAATTATTTTAATAATACAATACTTTTCGTTTTTCCAATATGTATTTAATTATTTCAATAATTTCATAGTTTTTGTTTTTCGGTATGTATTAAATTTATTAATCATTTGAACTATTTGAACGATATTATAATTAATTATTTTATCAACTATTTAGTTATGTTAAATTTACACTTGATACATTCGTTACATTTTTGTTTTTCAATAGGTATTTGATCTATTTAATCATTTGAACAATATTATCATAAATTGTTTTGTCAATTATTTAGTTTTAATCAATGTACATTTCACAGACTCATTCCACTTGATTGAATAGTAAATTAAGGCACCGTTTGGTAAC